AGGGCTGGGCAGGTAGGAGGCCACCTGGAGCTCTGTGACAGCCTGGCTCGCCCTTCCAGCCGGAATGGGAATCGGATCCCGAGGCATGAGCTGCCTGGTCTCCTTGGCCACGACAGAGACCTTGGGCAGAAGGGAGCCCTTGGAGTCACTTCTCTGCAGCCCACCCTCACCCCTGGAGGAGCTCCAACTGCATCTGAAACATCAAAGGCAGCTCCCGGGGTCGGGAAGCAGGGAGGTGCTGGCCGCAGTTGGGGGGAAGAGGCATGGTGGAATAAACGGGACCAGTGGTGACAGAGGGGGCCAAATTCAGGAGGCAGAACCCCCGAAAACTCAGTTCCCAACGGGAATGGAAAGGTGAGGGAGAGGAGCATGGAGAACGGGCCTGAATCAGACACCCGAACCAGGACAGCCCCAGGGGCCCATGGGCTTGCATCAGCAGAGATGCCTGATCAATGCCTTTACTGTCCTTTAGGCAAGAAAGTCACCCCGAACCTACAGCAGTGATTGTGTCCATAGAAACACCTTGTCTGCCTAGTGAGAAACAGGAAGCAAAATCTGATGGTGTTCCTGTTGCCCCGCAGGGATCCTGAAATGCCCCAGGGCGCTCCGCTTGGATGCAGCTCCTGGTAAGTGACACAAAAGGACCCCCTGTGGGCACCGGTCACTGGGCAGTGCCAGGCGCCAGGCCCAGAGGCCAGCTGGCCAGGGTCCCTGCAGCAGACGCTCACCCGCCTCCCTGGACCACAGGAGGCTGATGGCCTGAGGCGGGGCGGACCAGGGGAGCATCTCCCCTGGCTGGCTGGAGAGGCTGCCGAGCTGGAAAATGGGCCTAGAGGTAGGACGGAGCCTGCCGGTGTCCTGGAGGAAGGATGACCCAGGCAGAGACAAGGCAGGTGAGTCTGGGGTCAGTGAACACCGTGTGTGGAGAGCCTCCAGGTTCTCCCAAGCACAGGAGGCTTTGTGGGGCGCACTGAAGAACTGCCTTGTGTTGGGGGAGATGGTCACAGGTCAGGAAAATCCTTTGGGTGGAGCCCGACGGTATGGTAGGGGCTGAGGGCCGAGTTGGGTGAGCCTCGAGCAGTGGTCCAGGCGGGAGGCCCTTGAGGAGCCTGTCACCAGGCTTGGGGACTGCTGGGCGGGGAGCGGGGGGACCGGTGGGAGGACTCCTTCATTCTGGACTTGAGCACCTGCTGAAAAATACTGGGGGAGCAGCCCATGTAGGAAGCAGGCAAATGATGAGTTTCCTCTGGGAAAAATCGAGTAGAATTATCCTGGAATTGATCAGATGCTACGGCCTTCAGACTTCAGGACCTGTCCTTCACCCCTCAGCATTATCAAATGGAAAAAAGTAATGGGAGCTGATAAGAAAACACAAATTGTTAACCCAGACGACTGCAAAGGGGGACACCACGGCTGGAGGCCTGGGCCCAGTGACCTCACAGTCTGTTTACAGCCCGGCAGTTTCCCAAGGCCTGCTTTGGACACCACGTACTTCCTCCCCGTGCGTGTACTGGAAGTGTCCAAAGGAAACATCTGCTCTAGAACATGACATCACTCATGTCACCGTCAATATTTGATATAAATATATTTAACAGGCATTCGCTCTTGCTTAGCAACCTGGTCATGGGCTCGCTGACTTCTCCCCTCCGTGATTCAACTTCCCCTGCGTTCAGGCTGCGATCACATTCCCAGGCAGGGACTCCACCCTTCCCAAAACCAGGCAGCATAACAGGGAACTTGGATTGGAAGAACTGGTGGGTGGAAAAGCTGTGATCAGAAGTGGAGGGTGGAAGTCACCAGCTGCGAGGAGTATTAGGCCCCCTCCTGGGGAAGAAAACACAGTCAGAGCTGGAGCAAGAACCAGTCGGGGTGGGCGGAAGCACTTCTTATTTCCGAGGCAAATAAAATCAATCCCCTTTTTATCTACTAGGAAGCAAAGGTCCAAGGAGCCACTGTCAGTTTGTTCCAAGGAACAAACTAATAAATGGCAAAGCCAGGCCTCAAGCCCAGGTCTGACTCAGAGGCTCAAATCCACACCCACCGTCCACACCAGGCCTGAATATCAGGGAATATACAAAGTACGTTGATCGATAAGCTGGGACCATTTCAGGCTTGACGTGAACACAGCAGACAAATTCCTACAAATTGCAATTTATTTGAGTTCTGGCTATATGCCATTTGCACTACATTTCACTAATTTTGTATTGAAATAGGGGCTTCCCTGCAGGCTCAGTAATGAAGAATCTGCCTGCAATGCGGGGGATGCAGGAGACGCAGGTTTGATCCCTAGGTTGGGAAGATCCCCTGGAGGAGGAAATGGCAAGCTGCTCCAATATTCTTGCCTGGAAAATCCCACAGAGGAGCCTGGCGGGCCAGGTATGGTCGTCCATGAGGTTGCGAAGAGTCGGACCTGACTGAGCGAGAGAGCACGCAGCACACATATAGAACTAGATCCATGTTTTATATTCTTTTTAAAATTCATTTTATTTTTGGCTGGGCTAGGTCTTCATTGGTGCTCTTGGGCTTTCTCTAGTTGCAGTGAGAGGGGGGCTACTCCGTCGTTGCAGTGCCTGGGACTCTCATTGCAGTGGCTTCTCTTATTATAGGGCAAGGTCCCTAGGGCACACGGGCTTTGGTGGTTGCCCCGTGGCACGTGGGATCTTCCCGGACCAGGAATTGAACCCGTGTTCCCTGCATTGGCAGGCGGATTCCTGTCCACCCAACCACCAGGGAGGAAGACCTCTATCTTCTATGTCCTTAGCACAATTACATAACAGGAAAATCTTATTCCTAACATTGTAATGGAACATAGGTAGGGAGCTGAAAGAGAAACTCAGGACAATGAGTGAAGCATTAGTGAACAGGTGTCAAATGTGACAATAAAAGGTTCTTATAAGAGAACAGCCCCAGGGGTGGTTCAGATGCATCGATCGTTCTACAGAGGTACGTGGGTTGCCTCCCCGTATTTTTCTGTAGGTCACGGGAGTCCAGGCTGGCTTGCTGTAAACACATCATGTCAAGAGCTTATCCCGCCGCCAAAGACTTGCCAACAGCGCTTACCTCTGCGTCTGCGGCAAAGCCCAGAGGCTGATGTCATATAAGCCACAGGGCGGGAATTGTCTGGGCTTATCTGACTGACAGACTCACCTACAAAACCCAGTGCGTCTCCTCAGAGCACCGAGGCAAGGGCCTTTGCAATGATAAATGCTGAGGTGTTATTATTTCTAGTTGTCTGTTTTCCTCTAGAGCACAGTCAAGCTCAAAGGAATGAAACCAAAGTAGTTGTCGGATTAAATATTTTGCTTTCTCACAGCACCATGGTTCTGTAAGATATTCAGGTTTGCCTTTTGGTTTTGCCTTAGTGCCAAATTTCAAAAATGTGACCTACCTTATAATAAACTAAATCACATTCTGAAGCTGTTACTTTCTGTCAAAAGGGCTCATTTTATACATTCGTGAATCAGTTATTCAGCCCTAATGAAATAGATTGTGATACTGTGATTTTTAGGAAATATGTATTTGGTCTCCATCCCCTTTCCCAGCATACAAAACCCTTGTAGTTTTCTTTCTAAGAGCTACAGGGACATCTTTCTGTTATATTTAGTTTTGTTTCCAGTTCCTGAAACTGCTACAGAGCAGCAGAAAGGTGAAATGCGTATCTTTTGTTATTCCTAACAAGTCCCTTTCAAGCAAACCAGAGTTTGTGCTAATGACTGGTGATTGGGGCTCTTGGATGGCCTTGGATGTGAACTGGCTGACTGGGGAACCAAGGCGCACCCCTCAACCTTCCAGCGGGGGCTGGAAGTTGAGTCAGTCACCAATGGCCAGTGATTTAATCAATCATTGCCATGTACTGGGGCTTCCCAGGTGGCATTAGTGGTAAAGAACTCACCTGCCAACGCAGGAGACAAAAGAGATGCGGGTTTGATTCCTGGTCCAGAAAGATCCCCTGGAGGAAGGCATGGCAACCCACTGCAGTATTCTTGCCTGGAGAATCTCATGGACAGAGGAGCTTGAGGGGCTACAGTTGATAGGGTTGCCAAGAGTCAGACACAACTGGAATGACTTAGCATGCATGCAGTCACGCCCATGTAATGAGGCTTCCATAAATATCCCCAAACTACGGAATTGGAAGAGCTTCCAGGCTGCTGAGCATGTAGAGGCGTTGGAAGGGTAATGCCCCCAGAGTGCGCATGGGAGCTCAGTGCCCCTTCATCCACACGTTGCCCTGTGCATCTCTGCCATCTGGCTTTTCCTGAGTCGCACCCTTTATGTAAACTGGTAATCGAGTAAGTAAACTGTTTCCCTGAATTTTGCAAGCCCCATTCTCAAATTAATTGAACCCAAGGATAGGGCTGTGGGAACCTCCGACTTGTAGGCAGTTGGTAGGACGCAGTTAACTGGACTTGTGACTGGCGCCTGAAGTTGTGAGTGTGGCGGGCAGCCTTGTGGGGCTGAGGCCGGCCCTGTGGGATCTGACTCCATCTCCAGGCAGACAGTGTCCAGAGTTAAACCATAGGACAGTGCTACCCAACCTTTTTGGCACCAGGGACAAGTTTCACGGAAGACAGTTTTTCCATGGACCAGGGGGTAAGGGATGGTTTCAGGATGACTCAAGTGCATTATGTTTATTCTGCACTTTATTTCTATTATTATTATATCAGGTCCACCTCAGATCATCAGGCATAGATCCTGGAGGTTGGGGATCCCCTGCTGTAGGACATCTGGGGCCACAGCAGAATAGCTTGGTGTGGGAAAAATCCTGATACGCCTGGAGTCAGAAGTATTGTGAGGGTGGGAGTGAAGGAGAAACAGGGATGTTCCCCCAATAACAGATTCCTTAACCTTTCAAAGAACTGCCTTTATTTATTTACAGGGTTTAGGAAAGGAAAAAAAAGCTCTAGAAAAAGGAAATTCCAAAATAGGTGTCTTGGGCAAGGGTCGGGTGCGGTGGCAGGTTCTAACCGGGTCCGGGCTGTAAGTCCTGCTCTCGCTGGCGGTCACTTCCAGGTGGTGAGGACGGTCCTCCCGGCATCTCTCAATCGGCTCCCTTTGGGCCCCAGCGACTGGCCCGGCCGACTTCTCAGCTCTCGGTCAGCCCCGTCGCCCTGCGCCAGCTCCTCATCATACCTAGAGACAGATGGAACATCTCCAGGGTTCAGCTGCAGCGTCGCCACGGCAACCAGAGAAGCAGCCCACGTGCCTCCAAACCCGCCTGCCAAGCAGGTGGCCTTGGCGGCCCACCAAGGGCCACCCCAGGCCACAGAACACACAAGCTCAACCTTGTTAAAACTGTCACTGTGGACGGGTCCCACACCCTGCAGTTGACGTTTTTATACGGGCCACCAGACTGAGTCTGGCAATGACCTCAAGGAAAGGAATGACATACCAGGGCAGCCAGGGAGACAAGCAATGTCTGGAAATATGTTACACTCAGCACCTCGCTCAGCATCTGTGGGGTGAGGATGACTAACCCCGGTCCAGACAGGGCAGGGGGCGTGGGTGACCAGCCCAGGAGGCGGCAGCCAGGACAGGGAGAGGCCAGTTTCACCTTCACCAGCCATGACCTACCCGTCCCTCCCCACCGATGCTCCTGCATCAGGCTTGTGCAGTGCTACAGCACAGCCGGGGGAGGATGGACAGCTGGCGCTTTTACACCAGAAAGAACCAAGCACCTTGGCGCCCCTGACCACAAGGCATCTGGTGACAGTTCCTTGCTGGGGTGGGGCCTCCATGAGAGGGGTGAAACCCGCAGCAGGTGTTTCGGGCCCTGGCACTGCGCAGGCTCTATGGATGGCGTCTCCTACCCTCCGGGGCTTCCATCACCCTCCTGACTCAGATCCGTAGGCATCATGAGTCCCAGTTCCTGTTGGAGGAAACTGGGGCTCAGAGAGGTTTATTCAGTGCACTAAGGTCGCACAGCTGGTATGTGGCAGAAAGAAAGAAAGTGAAGTCGCTCAGTCTTTTCCGACTTTGTGTGACCCTGTGGACTGTAGCCTACCAGGCTCCTCCATCCATGGGCTTCTCCAGGCAAGAATACTGGAGTGGGTTGCCATTTCCTTCTCCAGGGGATCTTCCTGACCCAGGGATCGAACCCAGGTCTCCCGCATTGCAGGCAGATGCTTTACCCTCTGAACCAACAGGGAAACCTAGGTACGTGGCAGAGGTAGGGTTAAATAAAACCCAGGACTTCGGATTCTTGGAGAAGGAAATGGCAACCCACTCCAGTATTCTTGCCTGGAAAATCCCATGGTTGGAGGAGCCTGGCAGGCTACAGTCCCTGGGGTTGCAAAGAGTCAGACAAGACTGAGTGACTTCCCTTCACTTCTGACTCTTAATTTGGAACTTTTCACCCTGCGGCTCAGAGTGTGAAGCTTCTGTTCACTGTTCAAGTGTGTGCGTAGGTGTCACTGCTGACCACACCCTGGCTGAGCACCCACTAACATGTCTACATCAAATGCAAAAGGTACTAAGATGCTCAGGGATGTTGCATTAGCTACGTTCTGCTGACTTCTGGAAGAGGGTGTGTTTCCATTAAAGCTTATTCCCAGAATCACCATGCATGGATTGAGGGTGGGCTGGGTTAGAGATTTCTAAGGATGAAGGGCGCATTTTCTGCATTGAGGGTGAAAGGGGAGGGTGGGGAGGAGGGAGGCCAGTCCGCTGAGTATCATCTTCACGGCAGGCACAACGGAGTTTCCCTCTGCCAGACACGGGGAGGTCAGAGCACAACCTGAGGGTCCCTCCCCTTCTTGTTTCCCTAAGGAGAGATGATGCCGGACAGAGGACTCCCCAGGCATGCTGGTGGTTCCACCTGTGTGTGTGTGGGGGTCTCCCAGGAGGCGTCCTGGCCCCTCTTCCCGCCAGGGACTCTTGTTCATACGTTATCACTCTATTTGCTTGGTCGTGTCTACCATTACTGACCAAAGGGCTGGAGTGACCGCCCCCTCTATCTGGCTCATGCCCAGCACCCAGTCGTGGGGAGCATGTGTGCAGTAAGAACCTGCTGAATAAGCAGAGGGGAGACACACAGGTGGGCTCCCAGGTTTCCTGAGCATTGGTACTGGTCAGTGCAGTTTGAACACAAACAGAAATGAGCGCTTGGTGAGCAGCTTCCATCAGGGACGGGCGGCTCCTGGGGGTGCCCACTGACAGGGCGAGCGTGGAGGAGGGTCAGAGACTGGATGGCGCTTCTCAGGCCCCTCCTGGGCTGGCAGGCTACTCTCTCGGGCTTTTCACAGGCAGGATCCACTCACAGGGGTCAGAACAGTCGTTTTTAGAAGACTGTAAAAGCAGACCTGGCATCTTCTGAACTGGGCTCTGGATGGAGCAAATACAAAGTGCCAGGCCCTGTAGCTCAGAGGCTGGGATGGAGAGCCGGGGTGGCAGCAAGAGTGTCTACGTCCAGGTGGCACACCAGGCTTGTGACCATGGGCAAGTGAGCCGGCCCCCTCTGGGACACCTGAAGGGCTCTTGAGGGCACCCAATGGAATGCAGAGTGCCCAGCATGGCAAGGCAGGACGGAGCCTGTGACGTCAGGGGCCCGTCCCCCCCCCCCCCCCAGACCCATCATCCCCCTCCCCCAGCACCTCGGCTGCAAGCCCACAGACTCTGACAGGTCATCTGAAGCACTGGGGAGTGAGCCCTGAATGGAAGAATACAGAACCATAGGCTCTGCAGTGGAACCTTCCTCATTACCCCACCCAGGGAGGGGGTGGCCGAACGCATTGTGGGGAAGGTCATCTTTTTGTCTCTCCAACTGAAAGCGCTGAGGCTCCTGACCATGGGTCTTACTGGAAACGGCCCGTCTGCCCACACCCTCAAGGGGGCAGTGGGTTGATGGCGGGCAAAGGGCCCCACAGGCTCCCGACAGCCCACTTTCCCCACTTCCCCAGCACCCTCAGCTCGATGGAGGGGGGCTCACCCAGCTCCTGGCCCCCAGTCTCCCTCCACACGCACAGCCCCCTCGCCTGTCTCGGGGCTGTCAGGACGGAGCCCACAAGGCCTGCATCATGGTTGTCACAATGCACCGCCCACAATGCCAACCCTGGGAGGCTCTGGACGTGCCCCCACCAGGCCGCACCCCCAAACTCTTCCTCTGTGTACAAAGGACTCTCTGTCCATCGTCAGCAATGGACAGAGCCTCCCCTGTCCTCTGCCTCGTCCTGGAAGGTCCCCGTCACCTTCTTGCTCTGAATCTGGCTTCCCCTCTCGCGCCTCGAGTGGGCCTGTCTTCTCTCCCACCGACCATGCCCCTGGGTCTGCAGGGAACCCCCCCGCCACAACTTGTCTCCAAAACCTCCTCCCCAGGTCAGCAGAGTCCACCTCTAATCCTCCAGGTCGCTGACCCTAATTCCTTAAGATTCAGGCTCTCGGCTCACTGCTGCTGGCGACCTCAGTGACCAAACAGATGAAACCTTGTCCCCTGACTTACTGTCCTCTCCAATGACCTCCACCCCAGCTCAGCCCCATCCCTGGGGCACCTGACCTCATCACGTTCGGTGACTGCACCCCTTGAGAAACCTCAGCCTCCAGCCTCACCCTGACCTCTGCCCCTTGACCTCTGGCCCTTCTCTTCCCAGTTCAGTGTCTGACAGCCCCCCGCCCACCCTCTCCCTGTCCTCAGCTGCTCAGACCTGCAGCTTCCCCGTCCTGCCCCCTCACCTGGCGAGCACCCCACCCTGGGCACTTCCATGCTCTGCCTACTCTAGGCCTCATCCGGGCAGCAGACGTGCTGGAAGACACAATCAACCAGCCAGCTGGTCGCCCTTTAGGCTTGTGCCCACCCTGCCCGGGCCCCAGGTGCTGCTCTCGTGGACTCACCTCCCACCCTGCCGGGGCTGCACACTTACACCCACATAGCAGCGGCGCTACCCGCCAGGAGCCTGGGATCGGCGCACAGGTGTAAAGTTCACAGCCACTTCTTCATTGCTTTCAAATGTTAGGTGACGGGCTTCCCTGGTGGCTCAGGGGTGGAGAATCCGCTTGCCAATGCCGGGAATGCAGGTTCGATCTCTGCTCTGGGAAGATCCCACACGCCGCGGAGCAACTAAGCCCGTGCGCCACCACCGCTGAGCCCAAGCTCTAGACCCCGGGAGCTGCGACTACTGAATCCCAAGCACCCTAGAGCCCGTGCTCCACGAGAGAAGCCACCACAATGCGAAGCCTGAGCACCCAGCAACGAGACAGCAGCCTCCACGTGCCACTAGAGAAAAGCCCGCTCAGCAGTGAGGATCCAGCACAGCCACACAGAAATGAAAATACTTTTAAAAAATCAAAGAAATGAAATTTAAACGTGTGTTCTGACTTTACAGAAACAGGTAATGTGATCCTAACAGCTTCAGTCCTTGGCCTTGAGTGCTATTTCCCTCTTTTCTTAGCCCTCCTTCCCCGGCCCACACCCTCTGCAGCACTGGTGCCGGGACGACCTCCTACACAGTGTCCCTCCACACTTCCTGCCCCGTCCGCACTTGGACCACCAGCCACATGCGGAAATGCCGGCCACACTGGGGGACGGGGCACGGCGACCACCGCCCGCGTCACACGGATCATACTGCACACCCTTCCCGTAGCTCCTCCCCCCGCCTCCCGGCCCCCAGCACAGCCCCACCCGAGTCCTTCCAATATCCACTCACTCTTCCACCGCAAGAACAAGTCGGCCCCGCTCAGCCACTGCCCTCCTGATGGGGTGTCACTTCCCCCCTTTATGTCACTACCAGGGTGCCACGTATCCCTCCGAGCCTTTGTTTCCATATGTGTAAAAGGGAGCCAGTGACAACCCGCACCTCACAAGGCTTCTGGGGAAACGAGCTGTGACAATGGGTGTCAGGCCCTAAATGTATCTGCCTTCCTCTCAATCCTCTCAACTGTGTTATCCCCACTGAAAGGCGTGCACCAGGTTCCCTTGTGGCTCAGGCGGTAAAGAACCCACCTGTGATGCAGGAGATCCAGGTTCAAATTCTGGGTCGGGAAGACCCCCTGGGGAAGAGAACGGTAAACCACTCCAGTATTCTTGCCTGGAGAATCCCCGACAGAGGAGCCTGGTGGGCTATAGTCCGCGGGGTTGCAAAAAGGTGGACATGACTGAGCGAGTAATACTTTCAAAGGTGTGCAGACTGAGCTCCTCGGTGTCACATGGGTCTTGGGGGTGGACCAGGCATGGCTGGCCACTGCTCCATGGTGAGTGACTAGCTCCGCCTTGACAGCTCACCTGGCCAATGTTTTGTTAATATTTCTCATAGACTAGACAAAGGCCTGGTTCAGTACCCAACACTTGTCAGAAACAAGATCTTTCCCATAACATCAAAAGGCAAAACACTCTACCTGATAAGGCGAGTCCACATATGCCTAGAAAATCCCAGTTGGGCCCTGGCACACCCCCCACCCCCCGCCACACCAATCTGACACTCACGCGGCCAATGGCACAAACCCATGAACTCACAGGATTTCATAATTGCCGAGGACTTCCTTTGGGGGTGACTTGTTCCATTTACAGTCTGGAATTTCACCATTAGGGACCGCGATGTTGAGGGTGTCGTTGATCAGGTTGTACTTAAGGATTCGGTCATTGGCAGTGCTGGAGGTGAGGGATGGGGACGCGTTGACCTGCGAGAGGAGAGGAGAGAGACCAGGCCCTTCAGTTGGATCACCTACCTTCCCTGGAGCGCAGGTAAGCAGGGCAGAAGCAGACACTGGCCACCCCACAGCGCAGGTAAGGTTTTCGCTTTATACTGTCATGCCTAACACCTTCAGGAAGCACTTCCTGATCTATTTCTTTAGGTGAAATATAATTTAGGGAATTCTTTGGGAGTCCAGTGGTTAGGACTTGGCACTTTCACGGCTGGGGTCGCAGGTTCGATCCCCAGTCAGGGAACTAAGATCCCACAAGCTGTGCAGCTCGGCCAAGAAAAAGAAAATAATCATCATAATAATATTTAAAGACAGGATTAGGAACAGAACCTACAAATCAGTCACCACACAAATACAGATCTTAGGTCAATGTCCACCACAAATATAACTTCAGCATCTACCTGTGTGGTGAGCACCGTCCTCAGCAGGGAGAGCTGCCTAGAGCTTTGCTGAAATCAGTGACCCACTGACCCTGATCGAGCAGCATTGTGGGCTGAAGTAAAAGAAAGTGCACCTGTGTGCTGCCTGGCCAGCAAAGCAACATGCTGACCAGAGGAGAAGCCCATCCAGCAAGTGGAAAGTTAGTCCCAGAGGCCTCTGGGGAGGTAAGCGAAGTCACCAAGCACAGACATTCACTCTGCAGAGTCCCACGGGCCCTAAGTCAGCGCCTACTGACTCTTACTTTGCACACAGTTGTAACGACCTTGGTCGGCTGCTTTCTCAGGCCTGGGAGGGAAGAGGCAGCAAATCTGAAAGTTGTTCAGGTTCTTCCCCCGAATGGTCAGACCGTGTCTGTGCTGCCAGCGAGGCGGCTGATGTGTACAGTGGCAGGGGCGGTGTGGAGCTCGGGTGCCCTGGAATTTACCACTGTGCTTTATCATGCCATCCTGTGATTCTCATTACAGACATGTTACAGTTCAGATTTATTATTTTTAAAAAAAACCTTCACAGTTAAGATGCTAGTTCATCAAGGAAAGCTTGAGTTCCATTGAAGTTATGTAAGATAGAGGAACTTCATGTCGATGGACATGAGTTTGAGCAAGCTCCAGGAGTTGGTGATGGACAGGGAGGCCTGAAGTGCTGCAGTCCGTGGGATCACAAAGAGTCGGACACAACTGAGCAACTGAACTGAAGATGGAGGAAAAGGAAATATAAATTACTTTATGTCTGTAGGTAAGACTGACTTTGCCACTTCTCTGCAGGTGTGCTAAGTGGCTTCAGTGGTGTCTGACTCTTTGTGACCCCATGGATTGTAGCCTGCCAGGCTCCCCTGTCCATGGGATTCTCCAGGCAAGAATACTGGAGTGGGTTGCCATGCCCTCCTCCAGGGGATCTTCCCAACCCAGGGATCAAACCCGCCTCTCTTATGTCTCCTGCTGGAGGCAGGCAAGGCAAGATCTTTACCACTAGCCCAGCTATCTTTCTACATGTACATATGTCTACACACACACACACACACACACACACACACACACACACCTCTTTCTCCTGTAACCTGGCTCTCCTAGCAGCTTCTTGTGAGGTCCCCACTTTCCCTGCGAGGACCGCTCATGATGACTTGTTCAGGAGACTCAGCTTTGGCTGGAGACAGCCTGAGCTAAAGGGCATGAGTTGCACCCGCCTCGTGGGTCACACAAGGAGATGAGCAAGCAGAGTGGAAGCCTGCACCGTCACCGCGCGCCCGGCCCCACGCCCCTCTCCCTGGCAGCGGAGCAAAGCAGCACCAGCCAGCAAGGTGGACTCTGTGTCTGGTCCCTGACAGACATGCCAGCCAGGAAAAGAGAACACGCACCCCCTGCTTTCTAGAACAGCCATCACCACATCCTGTCTGTGCCTTCAGATGGGCAGATAAGTCCACTTCCAAACTATGCCTTTGTCCCAAGCGTTCCTTATCTCTGGATAGAATGCTGTGGCCTCCCAGGACTTTCGGGGCTGTGAACTCCCTTCCTGAATGGGAACAGCGTCCCCCAAGAGGACAGGGTGGGGGCCTGTGGAGCTGAACTCACCCAGAAGGACCCATCTGGAAAGGGGAGAAAAATAAAATAAACAAAAGTACTTCTGGGGAATTCCCTGGTGGTCCAGTGGTTAGGACTCCAAGCTTCCAGAGGTTCGATCCCTGGTCAGGGAACAAAGATCCCCACAAGCTGCACAGTGTGGTCAAAAAAAAAAAAAAAACCCAAAAAACAGAAGTAGAGCCACTGGCTCTGGCTCTATGAGCGGGGCTTGCAGGAGGTGATTGACGGCAGTGTGCACATTTCCCAGCCATCAGCAAACCCTCAGACTTGAGCACCTGCCCTGGTCCCACCGCCCCCCATCTCCACCCGCCCCGGCCTGGGGCCTCGGAGTCGGGCTGGGCAGGGGCATGGGGAGGCCGTTGGGTGGCCAGGCGCCAGGTCGTGGGGCGTGGGTACCTCGATCAGCCAGGGCTTCAGCTTGTCATCGATGATGATGTCATAGCCGTAGCACTCAAAGCAGTGCTTGTCATTGTTCATCACGGGCTGCAGGGAGAAGACGGTGGTTAGAGCCAGGCTTGCGGGCCCGGCCGAGACCCCTGACGTCGTGCACACGCGACACATCATGCGTGGGTCTCACTTCTGAGACCAGCGGCTCTCCGCCTCCCCCTTCCCCGCCCCGCTCCCTCTCCGTGGGGCTCCAGGGTGGACGCTCCCCTCAACCTCAGAACGGGCATTCGGGAAGCAACCACTGTGTCTCACTCATCAGAGGCTCAATGACCAGCAATGAAGGTCTCCATTGGCACAAGACTGTCCTTGGAGTGGACAGAAGTCCAGCTCCAAGTCTGGGCACCCGGAGTTCAGGCCTATGCAGCCTCGACACTCACACACACACACACGCGCACACACACACATATATACACACATGCACACACACATGCACACACATACACATATACTCACACGCACACACATGCACAGATGTACACACACATACACATGCGTGCACACACACACACGCAGGGCCCACGAGGCTGCCAGTCCCTTCACAGGCCCCTTGGGATGCAGCTTATGAACCTCTGTTCTCCGTGACAAAAGTCAAATCCATCTACTTAAGACTTCTGGATGCTCTTCTCTGTTTTTAATTCCACTTTATAAACTATTCTCCAAGTGTACAAAAAACCCACCAGCTGCTTGTTTACAACACAGATTCCACGCTGCCTTCCCTGGGAGCAGGCCAGCACACAGTCGTGCTCCCTGGGGTTGTCTCTGCACCCCACAGCGAGGGAGAAACACAGATACAACCGTGAGGACTGTGAGGGCTTCTGACCTGGCAGTGGGTGCGTGGACTCTACTTAGTACACGGATTAAGAACAGGAAAACACCTAAGGAGCGGGGAGCCCAGTGCAGCCCCACTTGTTGGAGGAAAACCAGGCTGGGGGGAGGCTGTTTCATCACATGGAAATCTAGTGGAACCACCGCATTTCCACTGAATTCTGGTGTCCTGACCCGGATACTGCCCACACCACAGTCGCAAAGAGCCTCTGCCGAACAGGAAGTCACAACCCTCTGACATCCCCCAGCCCCGCTGTCTCTGGCCCTCCGAGCATCCTGCCCCCAAGCTGTGGCTCCCAGTTTCTCCATCCTGTCCCACATCCCATGTCCTGGGGGTCTGGGTCCCCGACGTGGTCCACGCCCCGCTCCAGGCCCTTCTCACAAGGTACCACAGCCGCCCGTGTCCCTGACTCTCCCCTAAATTCCCAGGAGGCAACACACTTGGTTAACACAAGGCAACAAATAATGGCTAAATGAATAAAAATGGAATAAATGAACCCCTGCTCCCCAAACCCTCAGAGCCTTGGAAACGCCACAGCTTTTCAGCTCGAGGACAAAGTGCAGGAGAAGACCCTCAGAGGCACCTGCCAGGGAAGCCGGCCTCGAGACGGCTGACCACCCGGGGCCAGGGTACAGGCGTTCTTGATGAGACAGCCACGAACTGTCTCAGATTTCTCAGAGCTCGGCCAGCCAGGGGGACTGAAGCCGGCCAGGAAGGAGGTGGAGGGAGCTGGTTTAGCTGGGCACTAAGGCGCCCACATCACCTGTGTTACAGCCTGGCTTGAAATCTGAGTCCAGGACTCCACACACATCCCCACCGTGACCCCCACCCAAGCGTAGAAGTTCAAGGCGTGGCTTCCGTGGGGTAAGAGACATGGAATGTGGCCCCAGAGATGTCTCTGACAGTGAACTAGATCAACTAGGCCCTGTGTTCTTCCCTGCCGCGTCTGCCCTGTGAGCCCAAGACGCAGACTGGAGGAGCTGGCAGGGCTCTGGAGCGCTTGGTGAAATAGGAAGAGCTTGATTCAAGACGTGGGAAAGCCAGAGTGTCCACCAGAAGCGCCACTTTTCCGTCCGTAATTTACCGGGCTGTTTCAAGAAAGCTTTCCACATGTAGGGGAAACAGTATAAACGGCCATTTTCAGAGATAAAAATGGGAGTTGGAGGTCTTCCCTGATGGCCCAGTGATGCTTCCAATGCAGGCGACCCGGGATTGATCCCCATTCAGGAAATAAGATCCCATGTGACAAAACTGATCTTGCATGATGCAACTGACACCCAGCCCAGCCAAACAGATAATAGTTTGCTTAAAAAAAAATGGGAGAGGGAATTCCCTGGCGGTCCAGTAGGAAGGACTCAGTGCTCTCACTGCCGTGGGCCTGGGTTCAATCCCTGGTTGGAGAACTAAGATCTCACAGGTCCTGTGCCCTGGCCAAATAAAAAAAATAAAGAACAGGGGGTCGGGGAAGACCTTAGTCTTCCACTGAGAAGGTTACACATATGTATTTTCACACACATCCACCTCGCTGCCAAGCCCATATCACATTTCCTCCAAAAGAGCTCATCTCCCCACGCTTCTGAGTCGGGGAGTGAAGCTCTGTCCGCGGCCCCTCAATCCCCAGTGTGAGGGCACCTCCTCCAGTCTGCCTTCTGCGCTAAAACTAGCAGCCTGCGTGCTGGTGCTCCAAGGTGAATTCGTTTCTTTTCCTTGGAAAACAGATGCGCATCTGCTTTAGGACAGTAAAACAAAGCAGAAAAACCGCGAACCAGGCAACAGAGAGGGGACATGGGTGAAAAAGAGGGGGGACCTCTCCCGCCCTAAATGTCCATGAAACAGCAGAGCAGGGGACCTAAAGACGAGGAGGCTGCTGAGAAGCCCATCTCCAAAGCTCCGGCCTGTGACAAAGGCTCACTCTCCACTCAGGGGGCACAGAAGAGCCAGGGGTGACGGACGTCCAGGGGGCCTGGCCCGTCTGTGGAGCTTCCGAGGCCGTGGCTGTAGGAGGTAAGGCCGTAAAAACCGCTGGTTTTAGCGAAAGAGCCATGAGTACTCCCCAATCCCAAACGCTTCCGGGTTTGTGCTGTCTCCTCGCTCTCTCTGCTCCCGGGGCCCCCCGATTTCCACCGCAGGGCTCACCGCCACGGCCTTCAGGGACTGCACGATGATCCAGTGGATCTCGTCGAACAGCTTGCTGGTCACCTCCTTGCCTCGGGTGCTCTCCAGGTAGAGCCGCAGGTTGTTCACGGTCCACTTGCCCCCGTGGATGTGGTTGTAGTCCTCCTGGCCACGGAAATGGGGGGGTGGGAATAACCCAGAGCTTGTTCTCACCCTTGAGCATTTTCTGGGGCCCTCCCCCATGGGGGCTGGCACCCGGGGGCAAGGCACATGGGCTGCGCCCCTTGGGGATCTGAGATGTGTGTTCTTAAAATACAGTCTTCCCTGGGTATCCACAGGGGACTGGTTCCAGGGCTCCCTCAGAGTCCAAAATCCCTGGATGCCGAAATCCCTTACAAGAAATGGCACAGCGTTTGCGTGTAACCTACACACATCCTCCCCATCTCCCGTGTCCTTTAAATCACCTCTAGATTACATATGGGGCTTCCCTGGTGGCTCAGGGGTAAAGAATCCACCTGCCAATGCAGGAGACGCAGATTTGGTCCCTGGGAAGATCCCCTGGGGAAGGAAATGGCTACATACTCCAGTATTCTTGCCTGGGAAATCCCACGGACAGAGGAGCCCGGCGGACTACAGTCCATGGGGTCGCAAAGAGTCAGACACGACTGACTAACAACAACATCCCTAACAGAAATCATAGGAAAAACTAGGCTAACTGTCCAGCAGTACCTTTCCTTTTCCAGTCACAGATTCCTCTTATCATCGAGAAAAATGTGCTTACTTAAAAAAAAATTCTAGAAGCGTGAAGTATACACTTTATGCAAAACACTGCCACATGCACAGATATATAAAACATGAGTGCATATCTGTCTGTGGCCTGTAGGAACGTTATTTTATCAGAATGATCTCACAGCACTGTTCTCCTATCAGCTTGCAAAGCTGCATTTCAGGACCTGGCCCTGGTCTCTGATCTCCTTCTCTTGCTCATCCTCCACCATGGGAAACCCTCCAGCAGTCAGGATGAATTTAGCCTCCTGGTGGGCACTCCCAGGGCAGCTCTGAGATCTCCTGACCTTCTGTTACAGGCAGTCCTTTGCAATCGGCCCCTCCGGGTGGATTCTGAATCTCCTGAGGGCAGGGACTGTCTTGCCATCCTGGTACAGAGTACAGGGTGGTGCTCTGCACCCAGGGGGCCCCCGGTGGACAGGCAGACACGCTGCTTCACAGCCTTTCTGTGTTCAATATAACATCGGTTCTCCCTGCAATGCTAAATTAGAGCCATGCAAGGCTGAAACTGAGATTTCTCGGAGTAAGCACTTTTCTATGTTAAAAAGCAAAGCATTTACAAATAGGATCAATGTGGCAACTACTGCTGCATCTGGGACATGGAGAGATGTCACGCTGACATATTGCTTCTGCTCTCTTCTGCTGTTTTAAAAGAATGGTTTTGGGGGACCTCCCTGGCGGTCTAGTGGTTAAGACTGTGCACTTCCAATGCAGGGGGTGCAGGTTCGACCCCTGGTCGGGGAACTAAGATCCCGCATGCCAGGTGATGCAGCCAAAATAAAAAAAAAAAAAGAAAGATCGATGGAAATAGTGACCTAGTGACTGATGTCCTGAGAAGCCTCATCAGATGAGACCACCCTCCCAATTTTGGTCTGGCACCCCCAGACCGAGGTGGCTTTGCAGGCCAACACACTGCACTGTCCTCAGGACAAGAGGTCAGTCACTGTCATTTCCCAGCTCCGCCCAGACTTCTGGGAATGTGCTACTTGGCTACGAAGGGTCTGGCGTAATGACAGCAATGCTCAGCTGTCCCCAAAACGCTGGTAAATTCTGTGCTGTGTCACCTGAAAGATCTCTTTCCCATTCTTGTGAATGTGACATCCTGATCGCGTTACCCCTTCTCCTCTGTGAACCTTACAACGATGCTGCTCTCAGAAAAACCTGATGGGCAGGTGACGTGGGGTTGGCCTCACACGGAAGGAAGCCTCTTGCCACCCTCAGTGACAGGTGGCCATGGTCACATCATTTCACGACCAGCAAGTAAAAACCAGGGCTGCTGTCTGAGAGGGTGGCTGGGTGACCTGCCCAGGTCACACCGGAGATGAGTCATGGACATCGGATCGAGCCCCAGCGGGTCTGACCAAATTCTTCAGTAGGGTTACTCAGAAAAGCTTGTTTTCGATCAATATTTACCCTTTTTCTACTCCAATTACAGAAAAAGACCAGGGTATTCAGGCTTACATTCAAGCAAGATGCAAGTAGAAGAGGGTCTTTCATAGATAAATGAGACCTTTGGGATTTGTTCGCCAGGACTGGGTCATATAGCGCCCCGTGTCCCAGCCTTCACTGGCTTCTCCAGGGCTCTCTCTCGCCAGCACCCTCGCTCGGGCTCCAGCGGCCTTGACCGCTTTCAGCTCTGGCAATGCTCCTTGCGCACGGGCTGTGCCCTCTGCTAGAATGTTCTATCTGCACCTCCACCTGGGGAACCCTTGGCTCAGACTTCAGGTGTCTGCTCAAGCCTGCTTCTGCACAGCAGCCTCTGGCCAGCTGGCCTCCGGGATCCTTCATTCCAAGCTCCTCCAGCTCTGGGTCTCCACCTTCAGAGTACGCAAACTGTTTGTGACACGTTCCTCCACACGATTACTGGACAACCATCTCCCCCGCGGGCTCTGGGCTCCATAAGAGCAGAGATCAAGGGAATTTCTTCCCATCACTGTGCGTGTGTGTGCGCGTTCAGTCACGTCCGACTCTTTCTGACCCCATGGACTGTAGCTTATCAGGCTCCTCTGTCCATGGGATTCTCTAGGAAAGAATACTGGAGTGGGTTGCCATTTTCTCCTCCAGGGGATCTTCCCAATCCAAGGATCAAACCCACATCTCCTGTATCTCCTGCCTTGCGGGTGAATTCTTTGCCGCTTGAGCCATCAGGGAAATGTATAGAGACAAGGCCAACTGGTGTTTGTGTAAGCCCCGGAGCTCTGTGTGTGAACTACAGGTTTAGGATTTTGTTGAGGTGACGGTGGTGGTGGTGTTTGTGGTTTAGTCACTATGTCATGTCTGACTCCTGCGACCCCATGGACTGGAGCCCTCCAGGCTCCTCTGTTCGTGGGACTTCCCAGGTGAGAACACTGGAGTGGGTTGCCATTTCCTTCTCCAGGGGATCTTCCGGGCCTAGGGATCAAACCCGTGTGTCTTGCATCTCCTGCTTTGGCAGGTGGCTTCTCTACCCCTGAGCCACCTGGGAATACCGCCCATCACCGTAGCCCTTAGTGTGGGGGCAGGTGCTCAGTGAGTGAACGACCGTGCACGAACCCTCTCCTACAATCCTCCCAACAGCCATAAGGTGATGATATTACCTCCTTTCACAACTGGAGGGACTGGGGCTCTGACACTCAGTTAACTTGCCCCCAGGGTCACAGAACTAGAAAGACAGGGCTTGGACATGGGGTCTTCTTTCTTCAAGTGCCCCACCCCAACACAGGCTGGCACTCAGCTTGAGCAACCAAACTGGATACCTGGGGCTCCCCCTCATCAGCGCCAGGGCATCTTGAACCCAACTCTTCTACCCACCCACCCTGTCCTGCAAAGAGAAAAACAAAGAAACCCACGAAATCGGCCCATTTCCTCGCGCTCAGCTGAGAAGCAACACGTACCCCGTGCCTCTGAATGGCGACGTTGGTGAGGTGGACAAACATGTTGTCCAGCTCACTGGTGCTCGGGGTGTACTTCACTGTGCAGAAGCGGCAAAATCCAAGTTTATACCTAGGTGGGAATGCGGGTTAACTCAATGCTCTGAGGACAAGCATAAACAAAACATCACACTTTTTTGTCTTAAAAGAGCTGCCAACACGGATGTACCTAGAGATGGTCATACTGAGTGAAGTGAGTCAGACAGAGAAGGAGAAATACCATATGACATCCCTTACATGTGGAATCTGAAAAGAAACGATACAAATGAACTTACTTACAAAATAGAAAGAGACTCACAGACTCAAGAGAACCAACATATGATTGTCAGGGGTTGGGGGAAGGATGGGGAAGGGATAGTTAGGGGTTTCAGAAGGACATGTACACATTGCTATATTTAAAACGAATAACCAATATGGACCCCCTATACAGCACAGCGGACTCTGCTCAAAGGCTGTATGGCAGCCTGGACGGGAGGGGCGTCTGGGGGAGAATGGATACATGTGCACGTATGGCTGAGTCCCTCCACTATTCACCTGGAAACATTACAGCATTATTAATCGGCTATACCCCAATACAAAATAAAAAGTTTAAAATAAACAAACATATAGATAAAGACAAAAAATTGCAAAAAAAAAAAAAGAGCTGCTTTTTGTTTTCATCTTTTAGAAGAGTTGCCTTGGAAAATTTTTATGGTTCTTTTTAAATAAGGGGTTTATTAAGATATAATTTATATGCCATAAAACTCATCCACTTTAAGTGTACAACTCAATGGTTTTGAGTATATTCAGAGTTGTGCAATGATCACCATTACAAATCTGCGTCACTCCAGAAGGAAACCCTATGACTAGCAGCAGTCACTTCCCAATCCCAGTGCTGGGCAAATACCAAGCTTCTTTCTGTTCCCATGGTTCTGCCTATTCTGGGCATGTTGTGGAAGCGGAACTGTACAACACGTGGCCTGCTGGGTCTGGTTTCTCTCTCTGTGTATGTTTGCAAGGTTAAGAGTTGCTTCTTATTTTCAAGATTCACATCACTGTCAAAGCCACCGTCTTACTCAACACAGACCCTGTGCCAGGCAATGCAAGCTCGGGGAGCTTGGCCAACGACTAACCTACCCACCTCTGCAAGGGTCCTGAAGGGCAGGAGGTGTCATGTCAGATTGGTCTTTTTTTTTGGCCACACCTCGTGGCTTGCAGGATCTTAATCCCTGACCAGGGATCAAACCCAGGTCCCCTGCAGTGGAAGCACTGAGTCCTAACCAGGGGACTGCCAGGGAATTCCAAAAGCACAGTTTTAAGGATGGAAGCAAACCCCCAGCTCTTACATGTAGCAGCGCAGTGGGCGGTACGTAGACACCAGAACATACAGGCGCAGGTCGAACTTCCTGCCGCCGATTAGTAATGGGTTGTTAATGTACAGAGAGATCACGTAGGCTTCCTTGGTGGACTGAGTCATGAACCTGGGTGCGGCAGAGAAGGCTGAGCTTAGATGCAAACATCAGAGAGAACAGACCTGAGGTTGCCAAGGGGGAGAGGGGATCAAGGAGAGATGGTTGGGGAGTCTGGCCATCAGCAGTGGCATTAATATTATATACAGAATGGATAAACAAGGTCCTACTGTAGTGCACAGGAACTATATTCAATATCCTGTGATAAACCATCACGGAAAATAATACGAAAAAGAATATATATATATAACTGAATCACTTTGCTGAACAGCAGAAATTAACACAACATTATAAATCAGCCTTTCCTCAATAAAATAAATTTTAAAAGACCAGAGATCTATGGCTGATTCATGTCAATGTATGGCAAAAACCACTACAATATTGTAAAGTAATTAGCCTCCAACTAATAAAAATAAATGGAAAAAAAAAAAGAAACTAAAATTTTCTAAACTCAAAAAAAAAAAAAAGACCAGAGATCTTTAGTTGGCTGGTGACAAGCTTGCTGCCATTCATCAGGTGACAGGCTGGTTCGTGGGGAGAAAACAGGGGCTGGGGGGGTGGGGGCAGTATCGATAGAGGAACCCCTGGAGGCTGGCATCATGCGGTCAGACCAATGCAGGACACAAGGCGACGCCCCTGCCATTCCTGGGAAATCCTGACATCGCCCACCCCTAAAGGACGGCACCCATGGTCCAGGCATTTCCCAGCAGTGAAGAACCTCCCAAAGGCAAGGAGCGAGGCTCAGACTAAATCCCCAGAGGTCCTCTGCTCCAAGGAGCCCCCAGCCCAGGGAGGAGGCCGGACCTGACTGCACCCAGGTCGTCTCTTACCCTTCTCTTACACACACTGCCCGGTGCTCGGGTCCATCTCCAACTCGCCCCCAGGAGGCTGGTGCCACTGCGTCCCCAGTTTACCCAGACGAAAACCCCGAGAGTCTATACAACAAAACTGACTCAGGCGGTGAGTGTCAGACAGGGGTGTAAGCCCAGGCACCCAGGGGTTAAGGACACGCTTTGCCACCTCAGAAGTGCCAGGACTGGACAGGTCTCCCCCCAACTTTCAGAACAAAGAGCAGCTGGTAAGGCTCCCTGCTCCTGTGACCTTCCCCTGGTTCACACACCTCTCTCCAGGTGAGAGTCTATGCCAGGTGATGCTACTGTGGCCACAGGGCCTTGCTATGCCGCCAGGTGTACACCTGCACAACTGCTTCACCCCTGGGAAAGCAAGCAAGCCCCCCCACCCCCATTCTCGCCCAGCCCACCAGCCCCTGGCCAAAAGCCTGATGACATGAGACAGCGGCTGCAAAGCGCACGGGACGCCTGTCTACTTACGAAGATGTTTTGCTGTCCCGGGACCACTTCTTGATCTGTGAGAGCTTGTTGATCAGGAAGATGCCCTTTCCCTGGGCTTTGCCACAGGGTTTCATAATCCAGGTACTCGAGGGGCTTTTCCGGAACTCCTCCACGAACAGGTTGTAGTCGGCGGGCAGCATGTAGGTGACGGGGACAAAGTCTGAGGATACGGGAGAGGGGACAGCGGTGTCAGCCCAACAGGGGCCATGGGGAGAAAAACACCGCCACTGCCTTTCCAGGGCCTGTGTCGTTACCTCGCGCCCCCTGCCAAGCATCTGATGGAGCAAGGGCTTCTGCCATTCAATCCATGTGAGACAGGTACGCTTTGTTTTATTGCGCTTCACAGATAACATGTTTTATTTTTACAAAATGAAGGTTTGTGGCGACCCAGCATGGAGCAAGTCTGCTGGCACTATTTTTTCCAACAGCATTGGCTTACTTTGTGTTTCCCTGTCGCATTTTGGTAATTCTCACAGTATTTCCAACTTTTTCATTATTATGTTTGCTATTATGTTTGGTGAACTATGCTAAGCAATCTTGATGTTACTGGGTGGGCTGAGACTTACGGAAAAACTCAAGGGATCTTTCTGGCCAAGCCAATGCTACTGCAAAAAAAATGACAACTCACTGAAGGTTCAGATGATGGTTAGCATTTCTAAGTAATAAAGTATCTTTAAATGAAGGTGTGTGCATTGTTTTTTTAAGACATAATGATATTGCACACTTGACAAGAGTACAGTTTAGCACAATAATAACTTTTACATGGATAACTTTTACATGCAGTGGGAAACCAAAAAAATTCATGTAACTTGCTTTATAGCAACGTTTGCTTCATTTACTTTTTATAATTTTGTTCTTTTTAATTATTTTTGGTGGCACTGCGTGGCTTGTGGGATTTTAGTTCCCTGACCAGGGATTGAACCCAGGCCCCTGGCAGTGGAAGCATGGAGTCCTAACCACTGGACCGCCAAGGAATTCCCACTGTGGTATTTGCTTTATTGTGGTGGCCTCGAACTGAACCCACCGTCTCTCCAAGGTCTGCCTGTAATGAGTTCTCTTTTAGATGTGTGCCAGTTACTTTATAAATCTGTATCATTTAATCCCTACAGCAACTTCTGAGCTCGGCAGAGGTTGCTATTATTCCCACTTATCAGATAAGGAAACTGAGGCCCAGAGAAGTCACATATCATTTTCCCCAAGTGTGCAAAGGGATTCTAAAGCTTTCCAACAGCCCAGCTTTTCTCCCAGGATGTTGCATGGACACACCGCTCTCTCCAGGCATTCCCAGATACAGGATTTATCCTTCCCAGCAGTCTGCAGCCCATGGAGTGGCCCCCACCCTCCTGAGCACATTTCCAAGGCACTGACACAAACTCAAGATTCCAAAGCTGAAGCCCTCCCTGCCCCCTGCCCTGCTCCTCCATATCCTGTAAACACTTGGAAAGAAAGAGGTGCCCACACCTTGCACAAACACATTCATCCCTCAAAACCAACAGCTGCCATCCCCTTGCCGTGTGCCGATGGGGAAAAAAACACCACAGCTATTTATTTAAAAGGTGAGGCCAGCAGAAAGGACACGAACCCAGGTAGAGGTACTTCCCGCTTTCGTCCTTCTCCGCCAGTGGGCTCCCTTCCTTCTCCAGCTCCTTCCTGTATCTCTTGATGTTCTTCACCATCAGGTCCTTCCGCGTCAGCTCATAGTGGTTCGGGAAATGGTTGACTATTTGATCATCTGAGAGCCGGTAGCCAGTTTCGACACTAAAGACATTGCGGATGGTCTGCACGCTCATCCTGAAAGAGAAGAGAAGCAGGGACGTGCGGGACGAAAGCTCAGGGTGTGTGGAAGGAAGACTCGTTAAGGTCCAGGAATCCTCAACCAGGAAGCATGCTCCTCAGAGCTCACCTGTCCCCACCCTGCACCTGAGCCCGGAGGGATCCAGCCCACGGCAGCAGGATGCATGTCTGTGACTGTATCTGAACAGTCTGGGGCGGGGGCTGTTCTGATTCTGTGCCCTGACTGCCTGCACTCTCTGGCACAGAGTAGATGCTCAATAAATGTTTCTCAGATAATGATAACATTAATTACTGATATCATACTAATGAAAGGCAGACCCTTTCTGACTATGAAGTCAAGAAATTAATTGACTCAATATCTGTACCCCAAGTCAGGAAGGACAGGGACCCCTTAAAACCAAAGCCCCAGGAACTTCCCTAGCGGTTGTCAGGGAAGTCAAAATGGAAGTAGTCTTGTTCAGGCTTCAGAAGCTGGAGAGCAGGCCTCCGAGTGACTCCTCACCCTGCCTGAACTACACGCCTGGCTACAAGCACATCAACTGCTACCAGCAAGTCAAGCGGCACTTTGGATAAGAGAGGGAGTGGACCTTGGATCTTCTCTTGAGCCCCTGGAGGCCTGGCCAGCCCTCTGGGGTCAGGAAAATCCTGTCTCACAAGGTGAGAGAAATAGGATTGTGAAAGTTAAAGTAAAACCAGAGCTGCATATCCGCAGTTTACACAAACCATTGATAATATCAGCCTCCAAAACTGCAATCTGAAGCCTCACCCATGGGGTGGGCACGCCACACGGGACCTTTTCCCAACTGACACTCCAGATACTGAGGGATGTGCCGTGCTGGTCAAGTCTGGATGTTGGTTGGCCCAATTTGGTGACGCACGTGCTGTTACTTTCCTCTTCTGTTTCTATTTTTCTTCTTTTAATGATTATATATTGAAATTAAGTCAAGTAATTCTCTATTAAATGTTGAAATTGTTTGTGTATAACGAGTGTTTCTTTTGTTAATGAATCCTTCAAACCTAAAACTGGCCAGGGATCCCCCCTGCATTGGGAATGTAGAATCTTAGTCACTGGGCCCCCAAGAACTCCTTTTTATGTTATATGATATCCTATTTTACACTGTTACCACAATGAGAAAAAAAAAAAAAAGCAGCAGTAATTCCTGAATACCATCAAATGTTACTCAGGGTTCAAATCTCCCCAACAGTCTGATAAATACTTCCCACAGCTTTTGCAAATAAGAAGCCAGGCCTTCTCATTAGTTGCTCTCTCTCACATGTCTATAAATCCATACATTCTCCCCCAGCTTCCTTAATTTTTTTTCTAGGCAATTTATTTGCTGAAGACACTGGGTGCCTGCCTGCAGGGGCTCTCCCAGTGTCCTTGTTTACCATGCTCCCCGGGGCCCTGCACTTCCTATGAACGGGGGTCAGGCTGAGAGGACTGATGAGCCGCAGGCGGACGGGAGGCAGAGCCGTGTACTGGGCAGTGTGTGCTCCCACTGGCCGGCACATCCAGCCTGGAGCCTTTCCCCTCAGGATGCCAGTGACTAATCCGCAGCTCCACCCAAGAGAAACACAATGTGACCCACACAGCTGAGTCACACAGTGAATTTTCTAGTGGGCACATTAAAGCAAAAGTTAAAGAGGCACGAATAATTTTAATCTGACTCATTGGAAAAGACACTGATGCTGAGAAAGTTTGAGGGCAGGAGGAAGAGAAGGGGATGATAGATGGTAACATGGGTGGATGGCATCACCGGCTCAATGGACACGAGCTGGGGCAATCTCTGGGAGACTGTGAAGAACAGGGAAGCCTGGCGTGCTGCAGTCCGTGGGGTTGCAAAGAGTCGGACACAACTCAGCGACCGAACAACAAACAACAGTCCAACATCTTATCATTTCAACATATAATCAACATAGAAATTAGTGGTGAGGAATTTCATATTCGATTCTCCGTGCTAGAACCGGGAGCGTACACCACACTCAGGCACACACATCTCTGAATCAGCCACATGCACATGCCCGGTTGCCCTGTGGTCAGAGGCTTCCGTCCTGCACAGACGTAGATCCTTGTTTCGTGAGGGGTTACAAAATGGTGAAAATTCTCCTTTGTCATTCCCCCTTCATTTACCGGCAGGAATGTTTCTGTGAGGAGAAACTTTCCTTCATGGACAATTCAGACAGCCCGTAAAGGGTTTCTCCAGGGAAGACTGACTTTTTTTCCTGCATCAGTTTTCCAAATGGTGAGCTGGCTCCCTCACCCGCCCCCCCAACAAGGACGTGTGATGAGCTGTGTTCTGGGCCCCTACCACTGCAGAACAAACGACCCAACATTCACTACCTAAGATAACCACCATGGTATGCTATCTCCAGGTTCTGTGAGGTCAAGAATTTGGGCAGGGTGTGGCTGAGCGCTCTGCCCCACGCGGCACTGAGGTCAGTCAGGGGGATTCAGCTAGCTGGTCTGGGGGCCCGAGCAGGCTTCGTCCACAGCTGGCACCTTGCGTGCGGGGGCTTCTCCTGCCCAACAGGATGGGCAGGGTGTAGCAGCTCGTGGCTCCGGCTGGGGCTTCCCACACAGGAAGCAGAAGCTGCTGGTTTTTTAAGGTCTGGGCCCCAACACAGAACACACTGACCATATCCCACTGGTCAAAGCAGTCACAGAACCCACCCAAGCTCAGGAGAAGGAGACAAGACCCTTCCCCACCTCCAGAGGGAAGTAGTATCAAAAACATGGCTATCTGTAGACGGGGGGAGGCTACACAGCACGTCTTGTGAGATCTCAGTTCCCTGGCCAAGGACTGAACCTGGGCCACGGTAGTGAAAAACACCGAGCCCTAACTACTAGGCCACCAGGGAGCTCCCCACTGTGGCCATTTCAAATGTGTCACAAATTATGTGGGTGGTAAGGAATCTGCCTGCCACTGGGGGAGATGCGAGAGACACAGGTTTGATCTCTGGGTTGGGAAGATCCCCTGGAGAAGGAAATGGCAACCGACTCCAGTATTCTTGCCTGCAGAATCCCATGGACAGAGGAGCCTGGTGGGCTACAGTCCATAGGGCTGCAAAGAGTCAGATATGACTGAGCAGCAGCCATGGTGTTTGGTTTCAGTTCTTTTGGGGGGAATGTTTATGAACTCAGATTCAAACATGCATCATGAATTTCAATCTCTTTCAGTTATTCTTACTGAAGCTCTAGTTCTCCTTATTTTGGGCAGAAGGAACTCTCTAAGTTGCCTTCTGAGTCTTACTAACATGAATCTAGTAGTCCTCAACCACGTCTTTGCTTTCCCATAAGACAAGCTATTCCGAGCTCACCTTGTACAAGTCTTCCTGAGGCCCAGTGATAGACACTTCTGCAAGGAGCAAAGGAAACATTCATCTACTGTGTAGCCTGACTGTTAAAGAGTCCCAGCGCTTCACCCTTCTTGTTCCATATTCTATGTCACTTTGTAGCAAGTCCCTTCCGGAGGTAAAATAACTTTCCCCTTGAATTTGGGCTGACCCAGTGCAGTTCCTTGGGCTTCCCTGATAGCTCAGTTGGTAAAGAATCCACCTGCAATGCAGGAGACCCTGGTTCGATTCCTGGGTTGGGAAGATCTGCTGGAGAAGGGATAGTCTCCCCATTCCAGTATTCTTGGGCTTCCCTTGTGGCTCAGCTGGTAGAGAATCTGCTTGCAATGTGGGAGACCTGGGTTCGACCCCTGGGCTGGGAAGAGCCTCTGGAGAAGGGAACGGCTACCCACTCTAGTATTCTGGTCTGGAGAATTCCATGGACTGTATGTATAGTCCATGGGGTCGCAAAGAGTCAGACACAACTGAGCGAGTTTCACTTTGCTTCGATGTAGATCTTGGCCAAAAAGAACGGCAGAAGTGATGGCATGCCGTTTCTGTGACTAGCCCTTAATGGCCTTGAGAGCTGCCATCTCTCTCTTGAGCCCCCGACACCCACAAGCCCAGACTAGCTGGCTGGAGGGATATGAGATTTTTGTGGAGAGGAGCCCCTGGTATCCTGGCTAAGGGCATTCTAGACCAGCCAGGTCCCGGATGACCCGCCAGGTGACAGTGGATGCTGAGTGAGCCCAGGCAGGCTCAGTGAAGCAGACCAGCCAAGAGAACCACTCCACCAAACCGACAAACTCATGTGCAACAAAAAGTGGTCGTTTCAAACCCCTAAGTTTTGTTTTTTAATATTTACTTATTTGGCTGCGCTGGGTCTTAGTTGTGACATGCGTGATCTTCCAACATTTGTTGCGGCATTTGGGATAGTCAGTTGAGGCATGTGGGATCTAGTTCTCTGACCAGGGATTGAACTTGGGCCCCTTGCATTGGGAGTGTGGAGTCTCAGCCACTGGACCTCCAGGGACGTCCCCAGGCCCCTAGGTTTTGTGGTGCTTGCTACTGGCTGTCATGGCGTGTCTGGCATGTCATCCATGTCTGACAATGGATAACCCAAACACTCCCTCCAGCCCGGTCACTGTTTACCTGTTTCACACTCTGTCTACTTCCTGCCCACGTGTAAGCTGTTTTTGCACAGTTGTTGTCAGGATACAAATACAATTTCATAGTATGTTTTCCTTCACATTTATTGTTATTCAGTTTCCCAAACTGCTTTAGGACCATCGCAATTATTTTAATGGCTGCACCTTAATCTGCTTGGTTACTGTATTTACCTTTCCCCGACCGGTTAATGTTTAGCTGTTTTCAGTAATTTTCCCTAACCAATTTTTAAGAGCTGACCGGGACATTTAGTGCTTAAAGCGGGAGCTCTCAAGATCTCCAAGTATCCAACTCCTGCCAAACTGGTTAGCCCCTTCCTCCTCTCACGCTTTGGTTCAGGAGAGCTCCCTGTGTCATCCTCAGCCTGGATGGGAGGGGAGTCTGGGGGAGAACGGATACATGTATATGTATGGCTGAGGCCCTTGGCTGTTCAGTCTGAAACTATCACAGCATTGCTAATGGGCTACATTCCGATATAAAGTTTTTTAAAAAATAAAAGGGATCCTAAACCCTTCTTGATGTGAAGAAGGCAGCACTGAACTCCCCCTCACCCCCCACCCTGGCAGGAGAAGCCTGAAGAACACGCTGAGCTCCGCTGGGTCCACGGCACCAGGCAGCGGACACAAGACTAAACGCTGTCCGCGCTAAACGCTGTCATGCTCGGCCTTCCTTGCAGAGCTCCCGTGAAACAGGGTTCTGGATAAATGATATCACTTTACGTCGGAGAGGTGAACCATATGCAGATGCTGACCCACTTCACAAATGCCCTCCCTGCCTGCCGGCCCCGCCCCTGCAGGGGGAAATTAGCTTTAAAGAGCAGCTGACTTCAGTGTTGTCAGGAGCACATCTCATGTCATCCCTCTGCCCACCGCCGGAGCTGGGGGCTGGGGGCTGCCGGCTGTGCCTGGGGCCCGGCCAGGCTCCAGGGAGGCTGAGAGAAGCCAGGCCGGGTCCTCACTTTGCAGGGCTTGGCGGGGACACCGACAGAGGGGACAGGCGGGGAAATCACAGACTCGGCGTGTGCTGCCACCTGAGCAGGGCAGCCTGCAAGGGCCTGCGGGGCAGAGCTGGCTTCTAGGGCACACGTGCTGGCGCGTGAGGGACGGCGTCAGCACGTGCTGGTGGGGCTCCCGCCCCGCGCCGGCACCACCTCATGCTTCGTGCTCCCTGAAACCTCGAACAACCGAACCTGGGAAGGCAGGTCAAGGCCTCCGCGAACAGTGGGGTGAAGGCGCCGGGCTGAAGCCACGCATGGCTCGGGCTCCAGGGTCTGGATGTCTAACCCCCCGGTGTGCCATCTCTGGAGGGTGGGCTGAGGAGGGGCAGAAGGCACGGCGTGTAGAGAAGTGCAAAGGAAAGAGTGTTCCCAGGGGATCAGTGGGGAAAACGTGCAGCCTGCTGCACTGGAGGTGGGGGGAGAAGGGAAGGGGCTGGAAAGAGGCCGAGGACCATCTCTCAGGGCAGCGGCAGGGAGAGCGAGCCTTCGGTGGTGGCAGGGGAGAGTCAGGGTGGAAAGGCCCCTGCAGACCCTGACGGGCTCCCCCATCGACCCCCTGCCCCCCAAAGCCTCACTCCCACCCTGTGCACCAAGGAGCAGCTGAGGGTCGGGGAAGCCTTCTGGTGAGTAAGCTGCCAAGGGTGTGGAGGCTGTCCCGAGGGAGGGAGCAGCCCAGGCCTGGATCAAGCAGGACAGGGGAGCTCACTGAAGAAGCGGGAGGAGCTGAGGCGGCGACAGGAGTCCAGGAAGACTCCAGGGCTCCCAGCTGGGCCAGGCACCAACTGGGACACGGTGCCGAAACGCCACCTTTCTAGCCTAACTGGCCTTTCCGGGGTTTCTCAATCAGTCCGGCCAGCACCCTGCTGGCCTAATGACGGAGTGAAAGGCAGCAGGGAGCCCTCCCACAGTCCTCCCCACCCCCCACTCCTCCCCACCCCCCACAGACCCCCCAAGTCCTCCCCATCCCCCACGCCACCCCACAGTCCTCCCCGCAGTCCTCCCCATCCCTCACACCACCCCACAATTCTCCGAGGTCCTCCCCACCCCCCACGCCACCCCACAGCCCACCCCACCCCCCAAGTCATACCAGAGCTCTCCACGCAGTCCTCCCCACCCCACCACCACCCCACAATCCTCCCCACCGCCCATGCCACCCCACAGCCCGCCCCACCCCCCACGCCACCCCACAGGATGCTAACTCCCCCGAGAGAACCCCAAGGTCCAGGAGACAGGGCTCCACTGTGAGCAGCACCGGCCCAGGGGCGGCGGCTGCTGTTTCTCACCCAGATGCACACCGTGCAACCACACTCCCTGGGCTGAGACGCCCCCGGGCCTCGGGACAACCACGCCACTCAAGCACGTGCTGCCCCCGGGCCGCCGGCTCGTGCGCGGCGCAGAGGGCCTGGGACGAGGGCGCGCAGCGGAGGCAGCACCCGGCGCGGCGGGCCTTCGCGGAACACTGTCCTCGGGCACGCCGCCATCACACTCGTGAACGGGCTCGCACGACAACAGAATCCCAGCTTCCATACTCACCAGTAGAAATTCCAGTCCTCGTTTTCTGTCACTTGGACCCATCCTCTCTTCTCAAAGTTATTTATCAGCACCGACTTCTCGATGTCAGTGACCCACTTCACTTTTCCTGCCATAATCCTGGAAGACAGTGCCTCATGAGAGCCATGAACGTCGCCGCCGCACCTCCGCTCGCCAAAGGAGCCCTCTGCGCGCGGTGAACAGGCCGCCCCGCCCCGAGCTCCGTCTCCCCGGAGCTCCCCGACAGAGGCTCTCAGCCGGGGCGACGTCCCGCCCCCAACACGCCCCTGGGGGAGCCCGTCAGGACCGGCGGGGGTCAGGGGAGGCTCTGGCAGCTCCTGGGCAGAGACCCGCGGTGCGGCTACACACACCCCCCCCCCACCCGACGTACAGGACGCCCCCCACCCCCACAACAGCCCTCCAGTCCCAAATTCCAGCCGTGCTGAGCCTGAGAGTCTGGTCAAATGGGAAAGAGAGGCTACACACACGTTGACCTGTGTGTAGCTGTGACAGGCGCCACGAGGGGAAGTGCCTGGGCCGTGGGAGCTGGGTCGGCGGGTGGGAGGGTATCCTGGGCAGGGCACCCTGGAGCTGACTCTGATGGGCAGAGATGGGAGTACCTGCTCTAATCCGGGACCCCCCCCCCCGCCATACTTTCCCTGCTGCCTGCCTGCCCTACACCAGTGCACTCCTTCGCAGTGGGTGATCGACCCACTGCTCCTGTTTAATAACCAACGTGACTCCCACTGCACCTAAAATAGGCAGCGCCCTGTTCCTTTCCTGCTTTGCCAGGTGCGTCTCGCGCCACCATCTCGCTCACCCACTGTTCTGGCTACACCGGGCTCCCATCTACCTCGGGGCCTGGGCACATGCTCTGCCCGCAGCACTCCGGCCTCCCTTCTGCCCAGTTGAGTTACTGCCCACTCGTCGTCTGCAGGCAGAAGTAGAGTGTCACTTCCCACAGAGCCTCTCTGACTCTCCAGACCAGCTGCCTGGCCCCTCGGCACCTGCAGTTCTGTCCCTGCTCGGGGAGGCAGGAGTTGCCTCTTTTCCGTCCCTGCTTGGTGCCCAGGGCCTGGCATGTGCCTGGCACACGGCAGACGATCACATCAGGGAGAACGAGCGACCATGGTCCCAGGCCTGGCGGTGCCACCGTGGGGCTCTGAGCAAGTTAGGGGACCTTTCTGCCCCTAGTCCCGCCTCTGAATTTGTGGTTTTCAAGCTGCTCAAGCAGCCCAGGGTTCCAGGCTCCCCCTAGCTCCCACCAGACCAAGGCTGCCTCGTTACACGCCTGAGGACAGGAGGGGAAGGGCTCTCCCAGCCCAGGCTCGAAGCCCTGGGGCCCTATGAACATCGAGGGCATTTTATGAAGGAGGCATATCCCCCTTGTCATGGCTTCATGTTTGGAGCAACGTCACCAGGCAGAAAAAAGCATGGGATGTGGAGGTGAGGACTCAGGTATGCGCTGCCTGGGAGAGGAAAAGAGAAGGCAGTCTCTGAGAGCATCCCCCAGGTGGGGCTCGGGGTGCTTCTACCCAGGGCCGCCCACACCCTCCTGGGGGTGCCCAGGAAGGCGGGGCTGCGGGCAAGCTCAGCCTGTGCAGCTCGAGGCCCAGCTCCACTGCTCGCTTGCTGTGTGACGCTGGGCAAGTTACTTGACCTCTCTGAACTTGCTTCCTCATCTGCGAAATGGGGGTGACGATAGTACTGACCCGCGTCGTAGGTGAAAGTAAGAAGCAAACGAGTGAACACGTGTAAAGCACTGATTGGGGTGCCTAGCACGTAAGGAATCATGGTCGTCATCCCTGTTTACGGATGAGGAAGCCACGGCTCTTAAGAGTGGGTGTGAGAAAGGACCAAACGGCGTGATGGTGGCTTCAGCGAAGCTCAGCGTGACCCTACTCTAACTTTGCTGCTTTTTCCACAGCCCATCACCCCTTCCCTCTGTGAATGCGGCTTCCTCAGGACGAGGCCAGCGCCCACAAGGTCAAAGTGAGGGGTAAACGGAGCCGCTCTCTGCAAACGCTAAGTGTCACCTAACTGCCACGTGAGGATGCTACCCTATCAGTCACGGTCTGCGTGAAGGTCAGCAGCCACTGCCTCGAGGTGACGCCGGAAGCTCTGTGAGTCCCCCACCTGCCGGCAGCTGAGTCTGCACCTGAGCAAACCCCACCCGCCCGGCCCCCCTTGCAGTGTCGAGGCCAACTGGGGGACCAAAGGTGTGTGGCAAGCTTGCGTGGGACAAGTCTATGGGCACCATTTTTCCAACAGTGTCTGCTCACTTTCTGTCTCTGCATCACTGTATTCTTATCATATTTCAAACGTCTTCATTATTACCTTTTACTTATTTATTTTGATCATACCGTGAAGCATGTGGCATCTTAGTTCCCTGACCGGGTATAGAACCTATGCCCCCTGCACAGGAAGTGCAGAGTCTTAACTCTTAACTGCCAAGGAAGTGTCTCGTTATTATCTGTTTGCTACAGTGATCTGTGATCTTTGGTGTTACTAGCATGACTCCCTGAAGGCTCAGGTGATGGTTAAAATTTTTTAGCAATAAAGTGAAAGTCGCTCAGTCGTGTCCGACTCTTTGTGACCCCGTGGACTATATAGTCCACAGAATTCTCCAGGCCAGAATACTGGAGTGGGTAGCCGTTCCCTTCTTCAGGGGATCTTCCCAACCCAGGTCTCCGGCATTGCAGGCAGATGCTTTACCAGCTGAACCACCAGAGAAGCCCAAGGATACTGGAGTGGGTAGTCTATCCCTTGTCAAAAGGCCCGGGAATCGAACCAGGGTCTCCTGCATTGCAGGTGGATTCTTTATCAGCTGAGTTACCAGGGAAGCCTTTTAGCAATAAAGTATTTTTAAATTAGGGCTTCCCTGGTGCCTCAGTGGTAAAGAATCTGCCTGCAATGCAGGACACCTGGGTTCAATCCCTGGGTTGGGAAGATCCCCTGGAGGAGGCCATGACAACCCGCTCCGGCATTTTTGCCTAGAGAATCCCACGGACAGAGCTGCAGTCCACACGGCTGCAGAGTCAGACACGACTGAAGCTTCCAAGCAGCAGCATCAGGAGCACCGTTTCATTCCGGCCATGTGCACTGCTTTGGACAGCAGCTAATGCCCGGCACAGTCGGCAGCATGGTATAAAGTTAACTTGGAGACCCTGGGGAAGCCAAAACAGTCGTGTGACTTGCTTTCTTGTAATATTCACTTCACTGGGGTGGTCTGGGCCGGAATCTGCAGTATCTCTGAGGCCAGCCTGTAATCTGACTTCACCCTGAACAGCCCTGCCTCCTTGAGGGATCCTGGTCCGACTCTGCCCCCTAGAGTCTGACTGCAGACACAGGATTTGGGTGAGAACCAACCCTGCAGCCAGGCAAGGCCCACACCACACCCCATGCCCTGCACTTCAAACATCAGCCTTCCTGGGTGACCTCACCCCCGTCATGGACATCCACCTGGAGATGCCCCGGAAGTAAGAGCAGAAAATAACACAATAACACAGGCAGTGCTTTAGAGCCACATTGTGCTCCAGTCACAAAATAGGCAGAAGATGATCCAGGGGCATGACCCCAAACCCAGGAAGCCAGATGGAGCAAACATTCCCATCCTCACTTGAGTACTGCACTGTACTGTTAGTTGCTCCATCGTGTCTGACTCTTTAAGACCCCATGGACCGTAGCCCGCCAGGTTCCTCTGTCCATGGGGACTCTCCAGGCAAGAATACTGGAGTGGGTTGCCATTCCCTTCTCCAGGGGATCTCCCCCACCCAGGGATCAAACCCAGGTCTTCTTCATTGCAGGCAGGCTCTTTACCATCTGAGCTACAGGGAAGCCCCATCCTCACTTTACAGCAGGAAGTGGAGCCTCCCAAGGAGGGGCGGTTTCCTCCCGGCCCCCTGCCCCTTCCACTGGCCGCGTGGACAGGCGGTCACCAAGGGAAGCACCTCACACCTGACCCACCATAGGTATTTATGGAGCCAACAGGAACGTCCGATTTCTCTTCAGTCTCCCTGACTCTTGCCTCGGGTTCTTACCTAAAATAAAATGAATACACAAACGACTGGCACAAAAACGGACATGTGGATCAACGGAATAGAACTGAGAGCCCAGAAATAAACACACATGACCTACAGTCAATTAATCTTTGACAAAGGAGGCAAGAATGTATGACGGTGAAAAGACAGTCTCTTCAGCAAGTGGTGCTGGGAAAGTTGGCCAGTTATGTGTAAACCAACAGAGTTAGAACACACTCTCACACCATCCACAAAAATAAACTCAAAACGCCGTAAAGACTTAAATGCAAGACACGACACCATAAAACCCCTAGAAGAGAACGCAGGCAAAACACTTTGACGTAAACGGTACCGATGTTTCCTTAGGTCAGTCTCCCAGGGAAATCAAAATAAATGCAAGAATAAACAAATGGGACCTAATCACGTTATAAACTTTCATACAGCAGAGGAAATCATAAACAAAATGAAAAGACAACCTACGGGCTGGGAGAAAATAACTGCAAATCATGTGACTGACAAGGGCTTCATTTCCAGCCAAATAAATAAGTGTTCTCAAAAAAACATGAGGTCATTCAGGTCAGCCTTAATCCAACGACAGATACTCTTACGAGATGGAAAGCTGGACACAGAAACACACGGGGCAGAGAACACCCCGTGAAGACAAGGGGACAGACAGATATAGAGGGAACACAGCCGTGGGAAGATGGAGGCATAGATTATAGAGTTATGCCTCCACGATGCCTGGGGCTCCCAGAAACTGGATGCCTCGAGGACCCCCTCCCCTGGAATCTTTCAAGAGAGTGCACCTCCGCCAACCCCCCGATTCCAGGCTCCTGCCTCATGGAACCGCCTAGTTTGTGGCACTTGGACACTGCAGCCCTAGGAAACCAACATGAGACACCACCATCGTAAACACTAGGGGGAAAAGAAGACATTCACACACATGAGGAGCTGCACATACACGAATTTTGGAAACAGCATGGTGTAAGGTGCTGAGCAGAAAGACAGTCATTTATGGTTAAGAAAGGAAAGAAAGAAGTAAGGCCACCTCTCCTTTAGAAGAACCCCTTTTCAGAAACACACCACATTGACATGGA